TTTGCGCGGGCTTGAGTCAGCAATTCCCTGTACTTCCGGACGGAAGCGGGAGAGCAAGCGGCGTCAATGTCGGTTGGTCGAGGGAGGAGAAGATCGGCGAAGATACGGCCTTTCCGTCCACCGTGGTGCAACTCGAATGGAGTCACGCCGATCGCCGGGTGCACCAAAGTGTTGTAGGCGAACTCGATGTCGGGGAGGCGGTCAACCCAATCTTCCTGGTCCGGACGGATGAGCCTACGAAGCATCATTTGAGCGGTTTGATGTGCCCGCTCCGTCTGCCCGTCTGTCTGTGGATGCCGAGCCAAACTTGGCTTCATCTTCGTGCCGGACTCCTGCATGAGAGCAGTCCAAAATGCCGACATGAAGCGAGTGTCGTGGTCGCTGACTATGTCTTCTGGTACACCGTGGCTACAAATCCAACCGGTGTGCAGGAGGCGTGCCAACTCGGGAGCCGTGGAGTAGTACTTGCAAGGAAGAAACCGCGCGTACTTACTCAATCGGTCCACAACCGTGAGGATGCCGTCGTGCCCGAGCCGGTCGCGAGGGAATGGACCGGTGACGTCCATGGCAATGGAGAGACCGGACTCCCGTGGGATGGGCATCGGGCGTAACTCGCCGTAGGGATTGCGGTTGCGGGGCTTGCTGCGTCGGCAAACTTCGCAAGAGTCGCAATACCGAGTGACATCGGTAATGAGATCGGGCCATCGGAATTGCTGTCGAAGCTGTGCAATAGTGCGGTTGACTCCGAAATGGCCGGCGAGTCGTGAATCATGATACTCGCCGAGGAGGCGAGTCCGAAGACGACGGTCGCGTAGGACACATAGTAAGTCCTTGCCTCTCGAGTGGAGGAGCAAGTACCCGTCGACAATGCGATAGTGGCTGGCCGGCGGGTGATCCGAAGATAGCTGTGCATACAGCGTGGCGAAGTCCGGATCAGACTCATATGCCCGGATGAAGTGTCGCYGAAGCTCCTCGTCGAATGCGAAGGCATGATGTGTCATAGCGCAAAGATCAGGTCTTTGCGAGAGTGCATCTGCTGCGCGATTTGAGAGGTCGGGAAGATGTTTCGGTGTGAAGTCAAACTGGTCGATGAAGTACATCCATCGCCCGATCGTGCTGCTCACCGTATCCTGCGTCTTGTAGTAGGTCAATGGATTGTTGTCCGTAACCCATGTCAACCTACGACGCCCAAGGAGGAAGTGCCGCCATCGCTTGAGAGCCATGACGAATGCGAGCAGCTCCTTCTTCCTTGCATCATCAAGCGAGTTGATGGGAGGCACTTTGTGGCTGAAATACTCCACAGGGTGCCAGTCGTCGCCGTCGTGCTGTTCCAAGACTGCCCCAATGCCATAGCCGGAAGCGTCCGTAGTCACTCGCGTCGGTAGGGTGGGGTCATAGATGCTAAGGACGGGTGCCATGAGCATGGC